ACGAATGAAAAGCACTAAGAGAATGATTTAATAAATTCTATGAGAACAATTTATGAGATCAATTTGTTAAAATCTGTTCAATCCATTCACGTATATGTTTTTCTGAATCTATATTTTTATAATAAAAATTCACTATTTCAAATACTTTTTGTTTACTAGAACTATTAAAGTATGTCATATTTCGAGTTGTTCACAGATTACTGATAGTTTCTCCAAGCCTAATGATCAATAAAAATATATTGTCGTTTATAGAAAAACTCACTTCAACGATAAGATAAATTAGATTGTATTATCAATACAATGTGTTTTTCACTGTTTGTATGTCCGTTTCGTAACTTTGTTTCAGATACAATTATTTACTGTGAGAATGAGTGATAGATGATTTTTTTCCTACGACTCAGTGTTCTCTTATGTTTTGAATCATCGTTTAGTTCATTTATTTTACCATCAAAATTTATACAATGTAATCAAACAATCTCTCAATTTCAAATTCATTTGTTTAACAATAATTTGCAAAATCTCTCGCTTACAGTAGGTAATGTAACGTTTAGTTTATCGCTTCGTCCAAATAAACATTACTTATCAAATAATTTTTCTATTAATTTAATAAACTAGGAATAGCTCTTAGTGTCTCTCACACATCGATTCAATTTACAAAAGTGCAATTTTGAGTTTCAAACTTCCCCTTTAGCAGATCGAACGAATATCACAGATCGTCGGCGACAGAATGTTGTTAGAGCCTATCATTTCAAGAAATTTGTTTGATGTGAAACAGTGAAACATACGCACAAACTTTTTCTCTACAACTACCCTCAGTTTTCCAGAAATCCTCTTAGAAAACTACGGTATGGAAACACAATGAAGCCTCAAAAAACTTTGAAGTACAGTAAATTCGTCATGCTGAACAAGAATATAAAGTGAGTGGCTCCGTTTTCTTTTCATGAAGCAAGGTTATAACGGTTTTCTAGAAAACTGAGGGTGAAAAATGGAAAGTACCGAAGGTAGTTGTATGGGGAAAGTTATAGATCCTACTAAATAGTTCCTATCCTGAAAACAAAAAAAATTTCAAATTTTTAAGTGCAATTGCAAATTTCTACACGTACTTGACAAACACTTGACAAGTATTTTCAAGAAATACTACTTGATAAATGAAGTACTTGTAAAGTATTTGATTTACTTGTTGAATCTGACACAAATGCTTGGATGTTACTTGAGCACATGCTTGGCAAAGGACTTGGCAAGAAGATAAAGTAATTAAGTACTTGGTTTACTTGCAAAAAAGCTCAAGAACGTTGGACAAAACCTACGAGGGTACTTGACCACGTACCTGCAAGCAAGTACATTCACTAGGGAATTATTATCTTGAAACTAGAGGCATGACTACACTATCAGATCTCTAGTAAGAAATCTATACATTTCTTAATAGGATCTTAGAGAAATCCTACCCAGATCCTTCAAGGATTCAGTTTACTTTTAGATAGAGCCCTGACAACACCCTATAGATTCGGGATACCTAAAAGTCGCAGGATTCAGGATTAGCTAGAATTCTGTTAGGATCCGAATAGGACCGTATCTAGAAAATGCAACGATTGAACCTCAAACAAAATCCTATGCATGTCCTACCTATTTCCTACCAAAGTTCTAACTTTAAGATCTTATAAGATCGTAGTAGGAAATAGACAGGAAGTACGTAGGATTTTGTCTAGGAATGAATCACTGGAATAAGATTACTATTATTTTTCACTCGTGGTATAAAGTGTGAAGACCTTATTTTACTGCTGACAGATGCTGTTGTACAGATTCAGCAATATTTGGCATCCACATTCTGATTTATTATTTGAGAAATTAACGCCGAGTACGGTCAGACACGAAGTGTAATTCTAACTAATGGGTCAAATCGTATTTTTTTCGAAGTCAATGTATTTGATTATCTAATTGTACCTTTAGTGTCAGGCGCTTTGTAAAAATTCATCTTCGTTTCTTTCATGCTCATCTGAAAATAATTTTTTTCATAACAATGCATTACTAATAATAGATGATTGTTAAATATTTCATTTTTTCTCTGCAAAATCTATTATGTTGTATAATCACGTAACTTACGTTTTATAAGTTATTTTACAATTTGAGGTTATCTGAAACCACTATTTTTTATTGTACAATAAAATTATTCTGATGATGAGGAAATAGGCCAGCTTTCTAGAAAGATAGTTCGCTACTTACTATCTTCTCTCAACATTGACATTGCTCTGAAAAGTCCACTTAACAGTTGATCAGTCACTAAAGTTTTTACTGCTTATCACTGTTATACTTATTGCCTGTCTTTCCGTGGCGTTATTTTCTGAAATATTGACTCAGAATGTGAACAGAAAATAATGCTGATTCTGTATAACAGAGAATTCTTCGTCTTTCAGTAGTAAAATGTTTTTTTACACTTTATACCGACGAGGGAAGATCCTAAGTAGGGATGTTTGGTTCTCAGTTCTCAATAAGAACCGGAACCGCGGTTCTCTTATTTTCGGTACTTCATCAGGAATTGGAATCGCACTACCGGTTCTGACAGTGGAACCACGGTTCTTTAGACGGTTCCTTTTTCCGGAACTGAGGCCTTTTTAGCCATAGATACTACAGTTTTATTTCGAGAACGATATGTTTACTCTTCATAAGGTAAATTTGTGTGCAACTTCTTTTGCATGAGATAGAATGTTTTGCCTTACTTTTAACAAAATGAAAACACACTCTTGACAAACCTACAAAAAAATATATTTACCTATCATCATTTAAAAGAGTCCTTTCGTTTACCATAAAATGAATTCTATTTCGTTGAACTGTTACTGTCTCAATTATTTTCCGATTCTAAACTGAGAAGCGAGAGCCACAGTTTCGTTCTTAGTCTTTTCGTTTTGGTTCTAACTCGAGAAACGGAACCAGAGCCGGCCATCCCTATCCCCATGTATTCAATCGTTTTTTGAATAAATATATGTAGATATATGTCATCGATGGCATTAATTTTGATTATCATGATAGGGACGACGTATGAGCCTCCGAAGTTCGGTTTCTATAACATCGGATCTCTAGATCCGAAATCTCTGTTGATCAGAGGTTTTGTTCATTTGTAGAGTACGTCAAATTGCTTATATAAGAGAAAATTTCCCCGCTGTTGAATAAGTTTTAGTGGAGTTATAATGATTTAGGCTTAAAACATTGGCATAATGTGTAGGATTAGGCTTTGATAAAAGAATTTCCAGAAAAAAAAGCGAAAGACGTTCATTCATTTGTTATTCGTAATCCTTTTAGGAAGAAGAAATCGAACATAATTATTCTCGATATTCTGTGTCGATTATTTTGTAGAAGTTATATAACTTGTAGTTATTAATGAATTATATACTCTATTTGCTTCTGGCAGCCCTATTATTATTTATTCAAGGCCTATCAATCATTAACAGTAAGTATATTATTCGAACAAATTATAGTGTATTATATTACAAAATATGACGCGGATATGTAACAGAAGGATGCATTAAATATTCTCTCATTCCTTTTTCTTTGATAACTAAAATATAAATATGCATGCATATAGGTGGTCATAACGCTCCATATGATGAGAAAAAGATTTTTAAACTCATTTTCTCGTGAAACAAAAGAGCTATTATTATACTATTATTATATTTTTTTAAAACTATTTAGAGGCTTGGGGGGGGGGGGGGGGGGGGAGGGGTAGGTTGCTGGTGGGACCCTATTAAGGTTTGCGATTTTAAGCCATACAAGCGTGCAATAAAAAAAAGGGGTATTTGTTTGCGTTAA